AAATAGGAAAATAGAATGCAATTAGGCATGTGGAGTCCTGGCAAAATGGTGTAGACAGACGCTTCATTCATCCCTCCTGCAACCAAATCAAAGTTGTGACAGAAACACGAAGGAAACAGCAAGCAGAGTCACCTGGGGTCTAGATAACAGAAGCCCTACAACTAGGGTTTAGAGATAGGAGAGGGTAAAAATGCAAGGCTGCCCAGTCCCAAGCGGCTGAATGGGACAGAGGCTCTGGCAGCTGCCACCGGCAACTTAAAGGGGCCTCTTAAAGGGGCTGTGTCCACAAGCAGACTTTTGCAGTGAGAGACTCGCTCTCTCTGAGCACCAGCACCCAGTTGGCACCTCGGAGGATACCAACAACTTACAGGGGGACGCTGAGTTAGAGCAAGGGCCGGAAGTGAGGCTTTCTTCTGAGCAGAAGTGCTGACAATATCCAATGTTCCTCTGCTGACGATATCCAATGTTGAGCCCTCCTCGCCACCCAGTGTGCGTACTCAGTGCCAAAATAATTGAGACATCATCAAATTGGTTAACTAAAGTCGCTCTGCCCAGAGGATTCCCTGAAACTCCACCTCCCCCAACTTGCTGCCCGACCCAAGCCACAACCAGTTGTACCCTTGGTGAGTCCGGTGTTCCTTGCTGAGCAGCTCCAATACCCACACTGGTGGCAGCTGGCCTTGGTTTCTTGCGTGGCCTCTTGAGGCAACTATAAGCACGGCATCTGTGGACTGCTTGCTGAATCTTAACAGGTGGGGCACAGCCTGGGGCTAAATTTGGCCTGCAGCTGAACCCCTACTACACAAGCCACGCTAATAAGACCGGGAGACTTAGGAACTTTGCTCAGTACATAGAAACAGACCCAGAAAAGCAGCCAAAATGGGTGGACAAAGAAGCAGAAACCATATGAGAGAAGAGAACAGAGATCCATGAATAATGGAGTCAAGCAATATATCAGATGCAGAATTCAAAACACTGGTTATAAAGATGCTCAATGAACTTAGGGGAAGTGTAGATGAATTCAGTGAGAAATGGAAATTACAAAAGGGAAGCAGTCATAAATCAAGAATACATTATCTGAGATGAAGAGTATATTAAATGGAATAAACGATGGATGAAGAGGAGGATCGAACGAACCACCAATACAGAGGATGGGGAAGCCAAAGACACCCAATCAGAATGGCAAGAAAAAAGAAGCCAAGACTATAATAATATTTAAAGAGCCTATGAGACAAAATTGAATGTAAAAGCACATCCGTGTCACAGGGCTACCTGAAGGAGAAGAGGGAGAACAAGAAGTTGAAAAGCTATCTGAAGTAATAATGATGGAAAACTTCTCTAACTTGATGAAGGAAATAGACATACAACCCCAGGGAGCTCAGAGAGTCCCAAGAAAGAGGAACCCAAAGAGGCGCACACCAAGACACATCAGAATTAAAATGCCAAAGTTTAAATGCAAAGAGAGAATCTTAAAAGCAGCACAAGAAAAGCAGTTAGTTACCTACAAGGGAGCACCCATACGACTGGCAGCTGATTTCTCAAAAGAAACTTTGCAGGACAGAAGGGCTTGGCAAAAATATTCAACGTGATGAAAACCCAGGATCTACAACCAGAAATATTTTATCCAGCAAAGGACAAATAAAGAGCTTCCCAGACAAAAATAAGCTGAAGGAATTCATCAACACCAAGCCAGTATTATAGGAAATGTTAGAGGACTTAAGAAGAAAAAACATATGTCAAAAACATGAACAAACAATGGTAATAACTACATTCTTATCAACAAGTACCTCAAATAGAAAAGAATTAAGTGCTCCAACCAAAAGATAAAGTGGCTGCATGGATAAGAAAACAAGATCCCTACATATGCTGCCTACAAGAGACTCACTTCAGATGAAAAGACACACACAGACTAAAAAGAATGGGGTGGAAAAAGATACTGTTTTGATGGACCTAGAGGGTATTGCGCTGAATGAAGCTAGATAGAAAAAGACAAATACCATATGATTTCACGTACATGTGGAATCTAAAGAACAAAATAAACAACGACAAAAACAGAAACTAACTCATGGATACAGAGAATATTTTGAGGGCTACTAGATGGGATGGCAGTTGGGGGGTCTGGTGAAAAAGAGCAAAGGGATTATATACAAATGGATAGTTACAAAATAGACATGGAAATATAAATGTAGCATAAGGAAAATAGTTAATAATGTTGTAATAAAGTGTATCAATATGTATAATATGTATGAGGGAAGAGGGGTACTAGATTTAGTGGGGTAATCCCTTTGTGAGTTATATAGATCTCTAATCACTATGCTGAACAACTGAAACATATTATTATATGCCAACTATAATTGAAATAAAACTCATCGAATTGTACAATGTAAATATGAGCAACTAATTGTCTATTATATTTCAATAACGCTAGAAAAAAATAAGAAAAAGAGACATGTAAGACAGAATGAAAAAAATCTGTCTTCTAGGAATTTCAAAAAGTAAGTAAAATGTTGTTTAAAGATAATGGCAAGTGATTTTTTAGAATTGGTGAAAGACATGAATCCTCAGTTCTGAGCAGGAAAATAAAAATAAATATTAAATACATAGCAGTGAAACTACAAAACCCCAAAGACAAAGAGAAAATCTGAAAGTGAGCACATAAAGGACAGACTGCTTACAAAAGAATAATAATTACACTAAAAGTATATTTCCAATGAGCAACAATAGAAGCAATTAGTACAGAGGATGGACTACTTTTTGAGCCACATGTCCTTTGCACAACTATTCAACTCTGCAACTATAACACAATAACAACCAGAGATAATATGAACATAAATGAGCCTGACCTTATTCCAATAAAAATTTACTTGTGGACACTGAAATTTGACTATATAAAAATAGACAATGGGCTGAATTTGGCCTATGGACTATAGTTTCTCAACCACTAGAATAGCATTTTAAAAATCCAGAAGGAAAAATAACCATTAACCTAGAATTCTACACCTAGCTAAACAATCGTTAAAAAAAGAAGGTGAAGTAAAGACAATTTCATACAAAGACTGAAAGAAATTGCCAATTAAAGAATTTGACTGAAGGAACTAATAAAAAGTGTATATCAGGAAAAGCAAAATTAAAATCAGAAATGAGTAGAATACAAGATGAAGTGTGTTGGGGGTGGGGGGGATATAAACCTGCAGGTATATCTAAATAAGCATCGATGACAAAAAGAAAAGTAATGATGATAAATTTTACTTAAGAAATAAAAGCTGAACTGAATCACCAGACAATAAACAATTGTGAGGCAGGAAGATAGCTATTAGAAATAAAGCCTTTTGGGTGTCTGTATCTTTGAGAGGAGGCTAAAGACAATTAACTTTAAACTTTGGTAAATCAATTATGCATAGTTAATGGAAATTATTTAAGGGAAAATATTTAAGGGGAAAAATCTTTTTATTTTAATAGTTATTTGTTTATTTTGATAGGTGACTCCTTTTTATCATAGTAATATAAAATCTCATTCAATTTATTTAAATTTTAAAAGTGAGATAAAAATATTTAAATAATAGGTGTATAGAGCTATGGCAAATATTTTAATAGTTACAAATGATTTCATTTTGAGAAATCAGCATACAATTTTTTTCAAAAACAATATCTGTAGAGATAGACGTGATATTTCTACATACATAGATATTTTTTCCAGACTCCGAAAGAGACTTGCAACAGTAAAACTTCTCTTCACCAACAAACTATCAATTCAAAAAAAGACAAGGAGGAATCTTAAATGCGTATTACTAAGTGAGAGAAGCCAATCTAAAAAGGTTGCTACATACTATGTGATTCCATTGTTATAACATTCTGGAAAAGGCAAAACTCCAGAGACAATTTTTAAAAATCAGTGGTTGCAGGGGACAAAAGGGAGAGGGAGGGATGAATAGGTGCAGCATAGAGGATTTTTAGAGTAGTAAAACTATTTTTTACCACATTCTGATGGTGGACACATGTCACTATATTTGTCAAACCCTACTGAATATACAGTACCAAGAGTGAACCCTAATGTAGATTATGGACTTTGTATGATAATGTGTCAATATAGGTTTATGGAATGTAATTAATGTTCCACTTTGGTGGGATATGTTGATAGTGGACAGGATGCGGGGAGGGGAAGAGAAAAGGGGAAAAGGGAATTCTCTACACCTTTCACTCTATTTTTCTGTGAACCTAAAACTGCTCTAAGAAATAGTCTTTGGTTGCTTTTTTTTTTTAAAATTCTCTTAAACCATTTGCTTGCACATAATTAATTTTTCTGTTTTTGAAGGCAGGTCAAGAATTATATCAGCTAATATTTACTGAGAGCTTTACATAGGTTTTCTCTTTAATCCAGGTGAAACAGATATTTTTATCCTCATCTTATAGTTAAAGACATTGAGTGCAAGAAAATTTATGTAATTAAGGCACATTCATAGAATTTAAACATCTATTTATATGACAAGAAGGCTGGCTGGTTTTATAGTAGTCTACTCATTCATTTTTATTTTTTATTATCTAGCTTAAAAATATCTTCAGTTATTTTTAATTACAAACCTCGGAGTTAATAATTTGGGCATGACTGTCCAGAAACTAAAGAGAGTGGACCTCCAAAACTACAAAGCCTAGAATGCAACACAGTGCGGGGCCACCTGGGAGCGCAACAGCTCGCCCATTGGCATGCTGGAAATAGTAGTTTTCTGGCCTGCCTCCCTTCCCCAGCCCCCAATCATCCGGATCGGAGCTTGGTTCCACGACTTGACTGATCCACCGGTCCGCACGCAGTCACCTCAATCCCGGAGACTGATCTGGGGATGCACCCCTGACTCCCTGGACTCTCACATCCCTTGCGGGGCAGGGCAGCTCTACCCACCTCACCCACAGCTCCGGACGCCGCGCTCCACACGGGAATCTAAGGAGGACGCGCAGCCAGGTTACCACAGAAACGGCGCTCTTTCGGTCACGGCGCGTGCTGGAGGTCAAAGGTCACGCAAGCCAGTTCCGCTTCCGGTTCCAGGATCCGGTTTGTTGTCAGAAAGTTTTGGGACGTTCACGAACCCTTTTTGAGGTCTTCTGCTGCAGCCATGGCGGCCTCCACCGCGGCCGGGAAGCAAAGAATTCCCAAAGTGGCTAAGGTAGGTGATAGCGAAAGGTCTTGTGGGAAGGAGCCTGGAAGATGGGCTCGCCCCAGTCTCGGTGGTACCCGGGACAGGAAAGCGTTGTCCGAGGAGCAGGCCCAGGGGAAGAGGGGAAGAATGAAGGGACAGGATAATCAGTGGTGGGGTGCAGGCTCTTGTCACCCCGGAGCACAGCCCGCGTCCGCGTTGGCCTTCGTTCTGGGGAGGTGTTTTTGCACGGGGGGAAATAGTGGGGTCCTTCAGCAGAAATAACTGAGACAGGCAGTGCGTTAGGCGTTGCAGAGCTGCACACATAAATGCGGGCGACGGACAGGACACAAATAAGACAAAGGTGTAAAATTACAACTTTGCCAAATGCTACTAAGGCAAAATAGAACGTTCAGTGGAAAATTGGGGTTGTGTGAGGATGTCTCCAGTGTAAACTTTGTTAAGGAAGTGACATTTACGCTGAAACTGGAAGGCCGAATCGGACTTAGCCCCGCTGAGTGAAAAGAATGAAGGTAGATGACAAGAGTTGTGTAGTGGCATAATTTAAGTTAATTAAACAATAAATTTTATATCGTCTGATAGTCCCATCGGTGGCCGATATTTACTAGTTTTTAATATGTAACAGTCTTTTTCCTAAGCGTTTATGGATCTTCTCCCTCCTTTCTTTTTCTCCAGCCCAGATGACTCTATTGAGCTTGTTTTTTATATGTCCATTTAGATGACTCCAGAGATAATGCATATAAAACACATAACACAGTGTCTGGTACTTAATGTTCATTAGATATGAGCTATCATCATTAGTATCGTTATTCCACATGTAACACTAAATAATTAATATTTCTTGTAATTCCATTCCATAAACTTATTGGGCAGCACTGGTCCAGTAGAAATATAATGTGAGCCACATATGTAAATTAAGTTTTGTCATAGCTACGTTAAAAAGTCAAAACGGGATGTTAATTTTAATTATATATTTTATTTAATAACCCACTGTTTTTGTCATTCCAACATGTAATCAATATAAAAAACTTAATTAGGTAATTTATTCTTTTTTTTATACTAAGTCTGCAAAATCCACTGTGTATTTTACACTTACAGCCCATCTCAGTTTATACTCACCACATGTGACTCATGGCCATCGTGTTGGACTTCACAGCTCTAACACCTCAGGAAGCTTATAGTCTAATGATGGGAACTTACCAAATATTGTCTTTGATTTGAAATGCCATGAAAAACCAAATGCAGTTATCAACCTGGGGCATTATCTATCTGGGACCTAAGTTGAAGAATTCTGTAAATTGAGGTTGTAAAGCTTGATAAGATACGGTATACATCTTGAAAAAACAGAACCTCTAATGGGAATTTTACGTAGGCAGCCTCAAATTTTTTTATGTTACTAATATAAAAGGGAAAATTTGCTATTTTTGCTACCTTTTCTCTATAGCCTTTTAATAGATATCATGGATAAGATAGAAAACACTTTTTCTATTTAGTTGCACAGAGAAATGGGAGCATGTCATAAAAAGAGGGTATTTTGTAATACATATAAAGTTCACATCCTAAAAGTGTTTGTTTCTTAAACCTTGTGTGAAGAGCATCTCCTAAAAATAGAAATATCTTGTCTTAAAAGGTAAAAAACAAAGCTCCAGCCGAGGTACAGATAACTGCTGAACAGCTCTTAAGAGAAGCTAAAGAAAGAGAACTTGAGCTACTTCCACCTCCACCTCAACAGAAGATCACAGATGAAGAAGAGTTAAATGATTACAAACTACGGAAAAGGAAGGTCAGTCAATGCAATGTCTTTCATTATATTGTTAAGAATTTATAGGCCAGAATTTGAAAAGTACCTCATCGGTTAGCGAGACTATAAGATGAAAAGAGATTAATGTTTCTAGCCACATAAACAATGTAACTTCTGGTTATCAGATAACTGCATTTTGCTGAACTTTATGAACTATGTCATGAGTTGTCTGTTTTAGAGTATAAAGAAATTAAGTCCACCAGAGACACAATTTTTGGTGCTGAATCAAAGGTTGGTGGAAGTTTCACAGGCAGAACAACTGACAGCTGAAACAGGGCTGGTCTTAGTGGGACTGAGGTCTGTGCTTCTGTCTGTACCACCCTCTGTGTTAAGAGTCAAGATAAGAGAAAGAGCCCTGAGAAGATTGGGGATCTGATTTGACCTTCTCACCCAAGAATGTGGGATTATTTTAAACCAGGGATCCCCAACCCCCAGGCCGCGGACCTATATAGGTCCGTGGCCTGTTAGGAACCGGGCTACATACCAGGAGGTGAGTGGCGGGCTAGCAAGCAAAGCTTCATCTGTATTTGCAGCCTCTCCCTAGCACTAGCATCACAGCCTCAGCTCCACCTCAGATCATCAGGCATTAGATTCTTATAGGAACACCAGTCCCTGGTGCCAAAAAGGTTTTAAACCACTGTTTTAAACCACTAATCCTGATGTATCTACTTATTAGTTATCTTTAATGAATTATGGATGAAATTCTGAGACATTAACGAAAAGACTTAGTCAAAAACGTTTTCTTGTTAGGAACAAATAGAGTATATTATAGTATCAGTTAGTGGTTGTGGGAAATAAGGGAATATCAACAATTGAAACACCTGTGATTGTAATCTTCTGTAGTGGGTTTATTATTTCTCAAGGATTATAGGATGTAATTTTTTAAAACAAGAACAAAATTAGTAACCTTTTTTGTGCAAGGATTAATAGACAAAAGGTGATGTAATTTTTATTTTCTCTTTAATTTTACCCTTTTTTGACTGCTGCCAGACTTTTGAAGATAATATAAGAAAAAACAGGACTGTGATTAGTAACTGGATAAAATATGCACAATGGGAAGAGAGTCTAAAGGAGATTCAAAGGTAAAATTGCTGAGCATGTAATTTTGTACATAAAAATGTAATGAGTTAACAGATACAAAAGAAATAGAAGAAGTTAAAGCACAAGTAAAAGATTGTGTCTCCCGCGGTAATTTTCAAACTTTGTTCCATGGAACCCTAGGGTTCCTTTGAGGGGCTTCAGGAGCACTGTTACAGGCTAGTTCTTGGGGGAGCAGAAGAGGAGACTGCAGGTGGATCTCAACCACCAGCACACACTCTAATGCTAGAAAAGTACAGTTTCAACTGACATTGATATTTTTAAGAATAATTGTTCCTCTGCAAACCAGTGACTAACAAGATTAAAATCACAACTTGGCCATTCCTATTGTCCAGCCTTTCCGAACTTTTCCAGCATACCCCTTGCCCCCATTGTGCTGCATACCTACCACTCCATGAATACATCATGTCTCCTCACTGTGACACTTAGCTGTTTTCTCTGTCTGGAATGACCATCCTTCTCCACCCAACTTAGCCTCTGAGACTTTCCTCAATTCTGGAGTTACCTGTTGCTTAACCTTTTCCATCAGATATTTTTCTTTCCATTTGCTTCCTGTACAGATCTTGACTATAACGTTCATCACATTGCATTATAATTTCATGCATGTCTACCTTCCTCTAAGTCTTTGTAAGGTTCCTGAGAACGTCATATTTTTTCACCTTTTTATGTCCAGCACCTGACTCATGGTGGACACTTGATAAAATAGCAGGGTACTACAGATAGTTTGAAATAGTTTCTACATGTGTTACATGTACTGTTCTTGATGCCCTCCAACTCTTGCTTCTTAAGGGCTAGATCCATATATGAACGTGCTTTAGATGTGGACTACCGAAATATTACGCTCTGGCTGAAATATGCAGAAATGGAAATGAAGAATCGCCAGGTCAACCATGCCCGAAATATCTGGGACCGGGCCATAACAACTCTGCCTCGAGTCAACCAGTTCTGGTAAGTTTATGATCTAATGAAATGGCTTTTTATACAGTAGGAAAGTTCCATATTTAGGTATTTATTTCATTTACATAGTTGTGACCATATATACAAATTTAACTTTGCATATATTATTGTGCAAAAACACTTTTTAATGTCCTATAGTATTAAAGTCATAATCAGTGTATAACAGCTGTGAAATCAAAATTTCGATTGCATTCTTTTATACATAAGAAACTTCTTGTCAAACTAAGCAGTTTTTAAAACAAATATATTTTTTTCTAATGCTTCATCCTTTTCAAATTTCTGTTTTAATAAGAAAACGTGTTTGATTTAACCTTCAGGGATGATAAAGTCTTAAACTTTCACATTTAATAAAGTTAGAACCAGAAATTGCCAAAAAACATTTTTTTCCCTGAGTCATTTTGACCATGACACATATTGTCGGATGATTTTGTTAAAGGTACAAGTACACGTACATGGAAGAGATGCTGGGGAACATTGCTGGTGCTCGGCAGGTGTTTGAACGCTGGATGGAATGGCAGCCTGAGGAGCAAGCCTGGCACTCCTATATCAACTTCGAGCTGCGATACAAAGAGGTCGATCGGGCCCGCACCATTTACGAACGATATATCCTTTGGACAAGGTCTGAATGGCGCCACTATTGCCTGAGTGCTGCTCGTCCCGTGGTGGTGTAGTTAAGACACAGTTATTCCTGTTGGCCTAGAAATCAAGAATGCAAATTTCATTTGCTATATAAGCTACATGTATATTTTCTAAGGACACAGGTTGGGTCAGGAAAAAAGTTTGTGGTCTCCATAATTGTTTGAGTATTTTCCAGTGAAACTTTGCATTTGTACTAATGCTGTGGTTCCTTGTGGAAAATAACACACTAAGTCCCTGGCTGCTATAACCAGTTCTATTTTTTTATGATGTAAGTTGGTCATTAGCAACATTACTGGAATCCATCGAAAGATTTACTATTTTTTAGCCATGTAACCCCAATTAGTCAGTTAATTCCTTTGAGCGTTGGTGTCCTCATCTTTAAAATGAGTAAAGATTCCTACTATGGGCTGGTTATGAAGATTAGATGATAACATGTAAAAGCACTTTTAGCAACTGATAGTCCTCATTATTCATTGTTTCCATGTTTGTGAATTCTGCTTGTTCAAATTTATTGTAACCCTAAAATCAATATTTGTGGCACTTTCACAATCATTTGCAAACAAGTACAGAGTGATGAAAAAGTTGAGTTACCTTAGGCATATGATCCCAGCTAAGGTGATAATCCTTCTTGTCTCTGCTCTCATACAGAGATTATCAGAGGATGGAGGTGGGACGGGGCAGTGCGGTATAGTGCAAGAAGCTCTGGCTCTGGTGCTAATTGAGCAGGTTTGAATTCCTTCTCTGGCTCCAGTTAGTGGGCAGCCTCTGGCATGTCACTTAACACTTCTGAACCTTTTTTCTCTTATAAAATAACAAAAATAAAATCTAAGGGTTAGCTTTTTGGATTTAAGGTTATAACCTATATGTGATATTTATATACATACATTTTTCCCCTAGGAGCAGTGATTTGGTGTTCACTAAGTAGTCATAGAACATAACTATCACGAATAATGAGAATCCACTTTATTATGCAATTTTAAGATCTTGATTACCTCTTCTGATTTTAATATTGTTACATTAACAAAAGCTTTTATAGCACTTGCTATGTGGCAGGCATTGTTCTAAGCACTTTACAGATATTGTCATTTAATCCTTATGACAACCGTGTGATATAGGAACTACTCCATTCTACAAATGAGGAAACTGAGGTGTGAGAGATTAAGTAACTTGACCAGGGTTTCTCAAGTAATGATGGAGAAACCAGCAGCAGTTTCAGAGCCAATGCTCTTCACATCGTTGCCATATTTGAATGTATCACTACTTTGGAAATTAATGATTTCCTCAAGGAAGATAGATTAAAAATAGGTTTATCCTATTCAGAAGTAAAGTGGTAATTCAGAACTTTCTCCTTTGGCTCTAGTTAGCAGTTTTCTTCTTTGTAACTTGTTTTTTCATAATCATTAATTCAAATACTAATATTGAGCATATAATATAATAAGTGCCATGTATCGAACATGTTCTTTTGGCCAGAAACTACTAAGAGCTTTACATAACATTTTCTCATGTAAAGGCATTAATCATCCAGTGAGGTCAGTATTATTTTTCTCTGTTTACAGATGATAAAACTTGTCTAAACAAGTTAAATGACTTGTCCAGATCACATGGCTAATAACCAAGGTTCAGCTTTTTTATGGCTCCAGACTCCTATTTGCACCACTACTAAAATATTGAATAAGCACTGGAAGAAGACAGAGATGAACAAGACCCAGCTCCCTCACAGAGATGACAGTTTAGTGGTTTTCTGCCTTGTACATGATTTATCAACCCCATCGTCATAGCTTGCATTTTGGGGTTTTGGTGGTTTTGTTTTTTGTTTAAGCCACATTGTCTTGCCTGGTATTTCTTTAATTCCCCTGCACTTGTACTTGTGCACCCTGATGTTAAGAATTGGATCAAGTATGCCCGCTTTGAAGAAAAACATGGTTATTTTGCCCACGCACGGAAAGTGTATGAGAGAGCTGTGGAATTCTTTGGAGACGAACATATGGATGAACACCTTTATGTTGCCTTTGCCAAATTTGAAGAAAATCAGAAAGAAGTAAGTAAACTTAATTACATTGCAGAACAGCTTAGAAAAGATTACTTCTTGTGCACATCAAGTTCATTTCCATTCTCTTATTGTTGGAGAAAATGATTTCAAAATACAAAACTTGATTTCTCAAAGAAAACAGCATATATTTGTGGCTAAGCTGAATGTTGGGAGCTGAGTGATTATATATTGTATTATAACTCTTAATTTTGTTGTGCTTTGCTTGAAAATTAAGCCTTTAAATCTGGACTGAGAATATTGTCTATAAACTGAGAGTTAGTCTCTTGGTATCTTCATTAAAGGGCTTTACAGGTGATAAACCTCGAAACAAAAAGCCTGAAGCCCTCACAACCAAAAATAGAATTTGAAATGAAAACAGATTTTCCCACCAATAAGTCATTTCTACTATAGTATACATGGAAAATAATCCTTTAAAGTAGTTTAAATAATGCAAAATTGAGAGAGGCAGACTGAAGTCTGAATGCAAGGTCTTGTACAAGTCACAGTACGGAATTCAGATTCTATTCTAAGGGCAGTGGGAAGTATTGAAGGGTTTTAGCAAGAAAGTGGTAGAATATAATTTATATTGTCAGTAGAACCTCTAGCTAATTTATGGAGAGTATATTGAGGGGAGGATGGCAAAAGTAGAAGAGAGGAGACTTTTGAAATGGTCTAGGGAAGAAATGGAAATAGGTTGACGGGATTGGGGAGATGTGAAGGCTACATTAAAAGGGTAGAAATGGCAGTGCTTGAAAAACCAGTGAACTTGGGGAATGAGGAAAGGAAAAGAGTCAAGGGCTCCTGGGGATTTTAGCTTGAGCCAGTGTGTGACAGTAGGTGTTAGTTATCAAGATTGGGAAGACTTGAGAAAGTCTCGGGTTTATGGAGAAAAACAGGAGTTCCATTTTGGTCTGAGATACACAGACGATATTAAATTGGTAGTGTTAAGTAGATAGTATTTAATGTTGAGCTCAAAGCAGAATGTCAGTCGATCCTGACTGAAATACTTCAACAAAGAGAAGAAGAAACTCATTTTGGACATTTTGAGGCCTCAAAATCTAACAAGTAATGTTTTATGTCTTAATTACTTTGCTAGTAATGACTAGAATGAGAATGTGGTGTTAAGGCAGATAATCATCTTGTCTGCTTTTAGTTTGAAAGGGTACGAGTGATCTACAAGTATGCCCTGGATAGAATTTCAAAACAAGAGGCCCAAGAGCTCTTTAAAAATTATACCATCTTTGAAAAGAAGTTTGGTGATAGGCGAGGTATTGAAGACATCATCGTGAGCAAACGGAGATTCCAGTATGAAGAAGAAGTGAAGGTGAGTGCTGGTGTAGATGCTTAACTCTGCCAGCTAATACTGGCTACAATAAAATCAGCAAGTTAGGGCTACCGATAATTACGCTCTTGATGATATGTCTGCAATAATGGGAGCTGTTCCAGATGGGTTGGAATAAATGAGGCTGATAGAAAAGGCAAACAAACAACGCTCGGATTTTTTCTGCCACTCACATGTCAAAAGTTACTTTTACTGCTGGTTGTGTGCTATAGAATTTGATCAGAATAAATCTAGAGTCCATATGAGCTTATTTTTGAAAATTAGAAGAGTCTGATCCAAAAAAACAGTTTCTGAACATTACTTTTTAGCTTAACTGCTTGAATTAAAGATGTAGATATAGTTCTATTCTCATTTGTTTATCTGTGTAGTATACTGTTTTGTGAATTCAAAGATAGTAGCATTTTCAAGGTATTTCTAAACAATGGACTAAGTCTGTTATAAAATTATGTCAGCAAGGTATGTTCAAGATAAATTACTATTAATTAAAAAGTCAGGATTCACAATTGTGAGTATGGTATAATTCTATTGTAATTTTAAATCTAGATGTGATGGTATGTAGTCAAATCATTGTGCACCGTTCTTTATAGCGTGGTGAAATCTCAGCTCATCTCCTTCTGTCCCACCTGGGACATGAGTAATCCATTTGTCCAGCATCTTAGTAGCCATCTTGGTTATTGGATCGACTATCCCAGTATCACAGTGCTTGTGTTCAAGCAACCCATATTTTGCTTAATAATTGCTCCAGAGCACAGAGTAGGTTAAATTTTATCAAAGGTATGTTTGTATAAGAAAGAATATAGTATGTATAGGGCTGAGTACTATCCACAATTTCAGGCATCCACTAAGGGTCTTGGAACATATCCTGCAGATAAGGGGATACCACTGTATTCTTAATTCTATTTTATTCATAAAATCTCAGGAATGGTATTTTTAAAATGAGATAATGTGAAATCTAGAAAAAAAGTTGCTAAAATATAGAAAGTCAGCCTGGTGCCTTCTTTTAGCTCACATAGTCCAGCAAGTGTAGCTGTCCATTTCGTTTTAATTTATTAAATTTATTGTCATTCTAGGCTAATCCACACAATTATGATGCATGGTTTGATTACTTGCGCTTGGTGGAAAGTGATGCAGAAGCAGAAACTGTACGAGAAGTCTATGAAAGAGCTATTGCCAATGTCCCACCCATTCAAGAGAAGAGGCATTGGAAGCGCTACATCTATCTTTGGGTCAACTATGCACTCTATGAAGAACTGGAGGCAAAGGTAAAAAATGTAATTATGTGTCCACTATTAATGGTTTCCTCACCCTGTGCTTAAAGCTCACTGTGCTGTCCTGGGTAGTAGCCGATATTTACAATCCTTGAAATTTACTTTTAGATTCTTATAAGGCTCTATTCAGCCATATAGCTATATATTCTCTCTGTAATATTTTAAATTCTGTACCTGTTGTATACCAGGTGAGGTGTTTTTTGTTTGTAGTATTTTGTTTTTTAAACCTGGAGACACAAGATAATCATTTGGAACTTGAAAGAAAACGATGAACCACTCCTTAGTTTAAATATACATAGTTTCCTGGGTTTCTCATAAATAGGGATCACGAATAGATTAGTAAAGCTCAAGTGGGATTTTCAGAAATTGGTCATGTATAAGTTAACAGAAAAAAATTAACTTTCTGCTGTTGAACTGAGACCGTAAAACATCTTTCTTTCTGCTGTCAGGCAAAAAGCTTTTCTACAGAGAAGCTCTCAGAGTTTGATGACTATATTGTTGGTGATTCTTAAACCAAAGTTTGATGGCCAAAGGTAGTTTACACTTTTGATCATAAATAGAATCAGGGTTTTAAAATAGCAACTTGTGAAAACATACTCAGTGTTGGTGTACATTTTTTTACTAGTATTAGTAAAATTAATAACTAGTAAAATTAGTATTAGCAACAGACTTTAATATTTTATGAAAATTTCTTATCCTAATACAGGATCCTGAGAGGACAAGACAGGTATATCAAGCCTCTTTGGAACTAATTCCTCATAAAAAGGTACATTTGCTCTAAGTGTTCAGCTACAAACATCAAAATCTTGCTTCTGTTACTTGTAAAATAATTCAGTGAAATAATATTTATTGATTGACTATATCCCTGTACTAGGCACTATGGAAAACAAATAAGAACAAGATAGGCTCTTTACCTCTGAAAATAGCTTACAGTCTAGTTGAGAGGATAGCCTGTGACAAATGAGTAATACAGATAATAACATAGAAATTCAGAGGATAGGTAATTGGAATACACTGAGTGAAAAGCTATTCCACTGTGAGGAAGACACACATCCAGGGAGTACACAGCACATGCAGGAAACAATGAATAGGTGTTTGTTGGTAGCTGAGTGGATGTATGCTTGCATGGGTGAACATGAATGTGCTCTGGAAGTGGCTGAGACATTATCTGTCATATTTCCCAACACATGAAACTAAGAGAGATGTTAACCCAGCTACCTTCCAGAATAGAGGTAGCATGTTCTGCCAGCTCACAAGCATATCCACAAAAAGCAGATTCTATGTAAAGGCTGCTGGGCCATGCAGTACTACACAGTATCTAGGTTACTGTTTTTGGGTAACTTTTGTAAATAAATATCATCTTTGCTTATAAATAAGAAAATACATTTGTCTTAACTGAAGTTTTAGGGAAATCTAATTTAACTTAATTCAATTTAATTTAAATGAGTCTCTTAAGCTAGATGTTGTTGTGCTTTTGTTTTCTAGTTCACATTTGCCAAAATGTGGTTACTATATGCACAATTTGAAATAAGACAGAAAAATTTACCATTTGCCAGAAGAGCTTTGGTAAGTAAAGAAAGATCAATATGCATCATTAAATTCTATGAGAAGGAAATTAAAGTCTTAGTGCTTAGAAGTTATATAATTCCTACTAAGAAAGCAACAGATGTATTATGCCTTTAAAATCTGAGACGTTAGAAAACACATGGCCTTTAAAAAAAGATTAGATGATAATGCTTAAATTATTCTATTTCAACATTGGAAACCTTATAGCTAGCTACCAGTTACCAGATCTTTTCTCAGACTAGAAAGATCTGATCTTTAGTCTGATCCTGTGCAAAAAATTTTTGGTGTATTAAATGCACCTCCATCTTAACAGATCCTATTAACAGTTAATAGGATCAAATACTGTGTTTAAATGCAGTTGTCCTTTGGATAAACTACTCTCACTCTGGCTGTGGGCAGCAAAGCAGGGTTCCTTCTTTGATTACCTTTTAATTTATGGTAGATTTTATATATCCAACATCTATATTCCTTAGGAGACCCTGAGAAACTAAGTAAAATCCAAAATAGTTGTCCAAACAATTCTGGAACACTGTGTCTTGCTGAACAGGCACCAATGGGCACAGGCCCTCTTGACAGCTGACTGAATTAGACGGTTTCCTTTGGCCTTTTGTCAAGAACCATGTTGACTCTCTAAGTCTTTTGTTCAGCAGAGAACAGCTTCCAGGAAGGTCAACGATGTCTGTGCACAAGTTAAACTCACTAAGGTATCACAGCAGCTGGACATTTTCTTTTTCAGGGAACTTCCATAGGCAAATGTCCAAAAAACAAGTTATTTAAAGGTTACATAGAATTGGAGTTACAGCTTCGAGAATTTGACAGATGCCGGAAGCTTTATGAAAAGTTCCTGGAATTTGGACCTGAAAATTGTACCTCTTGGATTAAATTTGCAGAATTAGAGACAATCCTTGGTGATATTGAGAGAGCACGGGCAATCTACGAGTTAGCCATCAGCCAGCCACGCTTAGACATGCCAGAGGTGAGGCTCTTGAGTTGAATATAATTTTGTTTTAGACACTTCTCTAATATTACTTTAGATGACCACCTAAATATGTGTGCATTTTATACCATAAAGAATATCTAACAAATTTCCAGTTTTTTCAACTCAGATTAAGGTTTTTCTGTTTTAGAGATAGAAAAGAAGGGGAAGCAGTCCTCTAGTTGGATACCAGAGCACAGCAAAGCCTCATGACACCAGGCTGAATTGGGACATAGTGGGTGGCTTACTGGCTCTCTTCCTCGCTTTCTCAAACAGGAGGCTAAAGGGGATGAGATAATCAAGAAAATAGGCAGTAGGCAACACCATCTGGAGAATAAGAGAAGTGGAGATTGAGATTGCACATCCCTGCATTCTCCTGGCGGTTTTGTCTGGATTGAACTAGCAAAAAGGGCTCTAAGTAAACCAGGATGTTCCTGGAATTGCTACTCTCACTGGCCTCCATCAAGACTTAAAATCATCTCTTCAGTATTTGAGCCAGAACGTGGCGCCAAACCACATCTTGGACTAGTTTGAATCTCACAGGACCCACTGAACACATTCAACCATTCTGTTTATCTTGCACTAATATGACCCTGTATTTAAGGGCTCACTGATTGCATTAGGGCAGGGCTTTTTGTATTACTAGTTCCATCAGTTGGCCTCAGCTTCTCTACAGAGTGCCAGCTCCCAGGAGTCCAGGCCATATCTTGGTCATCCTTGTGCTCTGACAGGCTGTATCTAGCAGGTATGCAGCTGTCACTGAATGCTTGAACTCAAACATATCAAGAATTTACACTGGAGGTAAAAGCAGTATATACTGGCCAATCTAGGCCTGTTTTCTCCCACAGGTTCAGTGGTATGTGGCATGGTCATGACTGCCTGGGAGACTTGGCAAGTTTCTCAGCTCTTCATGATAAGTCCAGCATTTGAAAAACTCCAAAATTGAATCCAAGGCCTTTTTGCTTATATTATAGAATTTTAACCAAGTTTTGGCCAGCTTGTATATGCTAGTGTTTTTTATCACATGCCATCTGTTCTTTAATTCTTCATAAAAGGCCTAGGTTCCTATATGTCCTAGGTTAGAATGGTAGTTAAGCTGTGCTTTGGGTAGGGGCATGTTACTTTTTAAATGTCAAGGCTGACCTATTAAGTTTTCTTAGGTGCTTTGGAAATCATATATTGATTTTGAAATTGAGCAGGAAGAAACTGAAAGAACACGAAATCTTTACCGACGATTGCTTCAACGGACACAACATGTCAAGGTATCCTGTGCTTTATAGATTATCTTTGATTTTGCTTGCATCAGCAATCCTTAAGAAATACTGTATTTCTGTATTTTAAGTGTTTTTTAAAAATATATATTTATTTTAAATGATTCCCTGGCTTTTAAAGAGAACTTATGAGTCTCAGAGGACTTTGGAATATTAAGCTTATACCAGATCAGTATGTGTACTTTTGTAAATAACCAGTTATATCACAGAGTTGAATAAAACGTTAAGCTCTTCTTGTGACTTTAAGACTATTTTAGACACCTAATTGGATATAGAAGCAGACTATTTCAACATTAATAAATTGAAGTATATAGTCAATATTCTTTGGAATATAGAAATGAGAGCATTACTATATTCAGATGTTATTAACAAGAAAGTGTTATCATTACATTATTATCTTCCAGTGACATGGTTAATTTGGTTCTGTAATTTTTTTAAGGTATGGATTAGTTTTGCTCAGTTTGAGTTGTCTTCAGGGAAAGAAGGAAGTTTGGCTAAATGCAGACAGATTTATGAAGAGGCTAACAAAACCATGCGAAACTGTGAAGAAAAGGAAGAAAGACTTATGCTGCTGGAATCTTGGCGAAGCTTTGAAGATGAATTTGGAACTGCATCAGATAAGGAGAGAGTAGACAAACTCATGCCAGAGAAAGTCAAAAAGAGAAGAAAGGTTCAGACTGATGATGGGGTAAGAACTGATCCCTGTAGCATGTCAAATGAGCAGAAATGCATCAGATTTTGAATTTTACACTTGTAAGTGGCATATATACAATCTGAGAATGAGAGCAGATAGCCTGGTGTAAGAGATAGTTGCAGTTTGGCTATTGTGGAAACATAATAAAGAGTGTATTGTCTACCCAGGGTAGAGAATGAGAGAGGGTTGGCAGAGACTTCTCGGTCGATTCTGTGAACTATATGAAGTGTGGTATTTTCGAAGCAGCATGCAGGAAGTCAGGATGGAGGGAAATGAAGATCAGCATTTAGATAGGAGCAAATCCAGAGGTGGCTTTGTAGGCTATAAGGCTCTTCTGTACAAAATGGTATGACCCAGTCGTTGGCATCTCCTGCAGGACTTGAGGGGCTTAGATTGGAGGAGGAACTGTCAAGACACTTGTCAGCAAAGCAAGTGGTGGTGGAAGCTGGAACTAGAGTGATCTTTAGGAAGTGAAATCAGTGACCCACTGGAGGTGGGGATATTAGGGCAGGGATTCAGAATAATTATGCACAGACATGTGGCTTTCACTACTGGGTAAATATTAACTAAATCTTTAAAATGTTTAAATCTTAAACAGACTGCAGGATGGAGTTGGAGACACAGAATATCTTCTTGGTTGACTGTAGAGAAGCTGTGCTTAGATTTTTAGAATTTTTCCCACCAGATTTTTAGCTCTCACTGAGCTACACTTGCATCAATGCCAATCCAACAGCTACTTATTTTCTCCCACCCAGTGTTCAAGGCCCAGCCCTTGTTCTTTCTGTACTAAACTTTGATGTTGTTTTGTAAAGTACACTGAATCCAAACTCTGGGTTTCCCAATGAAAATTCTCCACTTTAAAGTAACTAAAGTGTATTTCAGCCACATGTTAGCTTATCTTTTAACTGTTTTACTTTTCTGTAGTCTGATGCAGGCTGGGAAGAATACTATGACTACATCTTTCCGGAAGATGCTGCCAACCAACCCAATCTCAAGCTCTTGGCCATGGCCAAACTTTGGAAGAAACAGCAACAGGAAAAGGAGGTTGCCGAACAAGACCTAGATAAGGACGTTGATGAGAATGAATCTTGATTTTCTTATTCATATTGATATTATTTTTATAAATTAATAGTTTGGAACTCTTGTGACTCCTGTAAGTTTTTGTATATTTCACCAGTGATGAATTGATTGGAATCTTTGGCAGCTACTTTTAAAATTCTTTATAAAATGTTCTTGGGCTGGTTGAAGGCAGAGGGATTGCAAGTAATTTTAATTGCCAGATTTGAGTCCAAACATTTTTTTGTCCACATAATGCATTAGGAAATCTAATTAAGGTAATATTTAGCATCTATTTTAGATGGAACTGCAGGCTTTTAAAAGAATCTTTCTAGACGTTTTCAAATTACATTCTATAGTAACTTTTAAGATAGTTTTCTCATGCTTTTCTTCTTCATAAAGATATTTTATGCATTCATCTGAATCCTGCAACTTTTTCATGTCTTCAGAGTCACACTGACTTGAGTTCTGTTCCCAGCTCTGCCACTTAGTGATATGTAACTTAACCTTTATTTTCAGTTTCTTCACTCATAAAATGGGCTAATGCTTTGCCAACCCATTTCAAACATTAAATTAAAAAAGACTATACCTGATGCATAGTAAGTGCTCAATAAAATAGTCACTTTGTTAAATATGTTCATTCCTAACAGAATTGAATGTGTTTGGGTTAATTTAACTTCTGAAGTCCTTGCTTTCTGAATAGTGGCCTTTATACCAAGTGTTTTCCAAAACATTGGTTGGAAAATAATTTATAGTTGCTGTTACTTCTGAATAAGGTCTTTTTTACCAAGCAAATTTTAGTCAAATTTCATTTTTGTCCTAATCAGTTTCCCAGACTGGTTGACCTCTGTACTGGCTTACTATGTGCTGTGAGAAACAATGTCCCATACTGAAATAAATTTAGGAAACTCTAGATTAAGCGTTAACCCTGGTTAGTCAAATCTCTTTATAGGCTTCTCAGAGCTTTTGATATGCTACTATATATATGAATTACCAGTAACAGTGTTGGCATGTTTCCCAAACTTGACCTGGGAGTCATTTCTACCTAGAGTACCAATAAATATCTCCCAGTGTGCTACAGTAGAAAATGTCTACTTGTGACATCTGACACATTAAGCTTACCCTTGCTTAAGGTGCAATACATCAAAGGTAACTTTATGCTTAATAGTGAAGCTTAAATAGTACAAGTAACATTTGCTGATACACTGCTCACATTCTCAAAACAAAAAATACTTAACTGATCTGAGAGATTGTTTCCTTTAACCTGGCCTGTATTTCTTAAGCATATCTTTTCTTGCTCTGTTCACTGCCCAAACTATTGGACTAGAGCTCTGTATCTACAAGACTGTTTTTCACCTATAAGGACAATTAGCAAATTTATGATCTGCAAATTTAGTTGGGTAAATTTACTACTAAATTTGTAAATGTATTATTCACCCAAGGGGTATAAAATTTAGTCAATATGTTACTAAATTGTATCTTGAAAATAAGATAGTTTTTGAGGACAGAATAAAATAGGACTGTTAAGATAAAATGCAAACCTGTTTTCAGCCTCCCTGGTTTAGTCATTGGACCAGTTTGAGCTGCAGAGGTATCAGGTTCTGACTATTGAGTACTTGAGGTCTGGCTAGTGAGGAGGAACATTTGAGATTTTAGTATCTTTTGGAAAAGTGTGCAGAATCAAGAGGTGAGATGAAAATATGTCAAAATGCTAGCATCAATGACTAATCATAGAGTCTTGCAAAAATTCTGTTGCATGTATGCATAAGAAAAAAAATCAGTGATCATGTTTTCAGTGTAATCTAACACTTTCTGGAAAGTGCCAGTATGAAATGCATGAAGGAAAACGTTACTCTCTTTTGGAAGAAGATAAATTCCACCAAAATGAGTCCTTTCTAAAGTAAAAGCTTTTTAATAATCATTTTTGTGGGTTTTTGTTTAGCTGCTTTTATTCAGCTGAATATTTTCAAATATTACAGGTGGTGAAAACTACATATGAAAATACATGGTTGGCCTATGTTCTAATTACATGGCTTTTCTTTAGGAACTAGGTTCTTTTTTCCCTTTAAATAGACCTCAACATCTTTTTATATTCTGAAAGTCAGGATTTAAGCAAAGTGTTGTAACATAAGACAGGATCCAGGACTATCAGTATGAAAACAAGTAACTGGGAAGAATTTACTACACAATAAGAAGGAAGCTTAAGTATGCTGGCCAAAGGATTGTTTCAAGTATGCATTTTTAAAATGTTTTATATATAAGTCAGAAACTTAACAACATATCCTAAATGCTTTCTCAATCCAGTTATAAATGAACAACAAACTTACAAAAAATATTGAGTCAACAGTGCATTTTATTATACATCTTAGATTTATACATTTCATATATACTTTTAAAGCTTCAATTAATAGTTCAATACAAAATAAAAAAATATATAAGCAGCAGTGGTTCTCAGGCACAGAAATTAGGAGGATTGGAGCAAGTTTTTTCCTAGCATATAGTGAATATTATGAACCATGATAGTGGAATGTTTCCTTCTGACGTAGCTGCCTTTCTGATTGAATTTTATTACAGTGGACAGCTTTAGTAGATATGATATTACTAACTAGAAACAATGAGATTTAAAATAAGTTCATAACCTAAATTTTCTTGAAGTCTTTAAGACCTAAATGATTACTTTTCTCTAATAGAACTCCAAGATCATCCAATGAAAATAATATTGTCCATAAAATATCTGGAGCATCAGCCTAAGAACCACTGCCCATGGTTATTCAATGTCTTCAGGCCTCACAGGATGAGGTAATGGTATAATGGATTTCTTCTCAGTGTCTCTGGAAAGTGCTTTCCTCATATCTGTTAGGAAGCAAAGTTTAATGTAAGTACCCAAATATCAAAACATTTTATATCAAAATTTAAAGTACAAAAAGTTCCCATAAGAAGTTTTGTCAACTTCTATCAGATTCCAAGAGAATTCGTCTTTATATAATTGAGACCCAGTCACAATAACCAGACAATAACCAACTGAGATTCAGCTCTCCATACAAATGTTCTTTTGACAGAATCTTAGTAAAATGACATGCCTATAACATAGTAAGACAGTAATTGATGGTAATTAGTCATTGGTTGGTTAATATAAGTTGATTAGTGTTAGGTTCGTAAAGGCACGTTTAAGGAGATTTAAATATTATAGCTCAAATTTAAAATATTAAGTCCAACAAATATGATTCACTTAAATTTATTAAAACTCTTGGATATTTCAGTTTGTGGAATGAATGTAAATGTTCAGCTTCTTCTTGGTGATTCTGCCACAGAAGGGAGCTGTCCGTAAGCATCCTCGTCAGGCTCCCCATTGCTGGCTGAATAGTACTCTATGACCGTCCGGTATACGCTGTAGCCCAACTGCTTGTACATGTTGACTGCAACTTGATTAGATACTCTTACAAAGAGATCAACAAAAAATCCACCTTTTCTTTATTTTTTTTTAAAAAAAGAAAAGTTAAAATGTGAGAAATCCTAAAAACATATTTTTAACAATAACTTTTGCTTTTACTTTGACTACTCAGAATAGTAATAAGACCTCGCAGCTGATTACATCATAAATGAACTTTATATTGCTGAAGATTTATAACAATTATTTTGCAGTATAAAAAGATGACTGCATACTAATATTTAAAACCTACAATATATGAAAACATTTAAAAGCAATATGTGCTTTTTAAAAAGCTTTTTTTTTTTTACAGTTCGGTTACTTGGCTTAAAAAAAATACTGTGTATTTTATGTTGCAGTAATTGATATGCTCATTTTACCAATTACTTTCTCACATGCACAAATTAAAGACTTGGAAGCAAGCACCAAAAATTATTAAAAAATAAAATAAAAAGAAGCAAGCATCAGTGTGGCCATAGCCCAAGTATAGCTATAACATTGGTCACAGCCCTGAAGCCCTCAGGTCCCTCTGGTCAGTGACAGTCCCACCTTTACCCAGAGGTCTTCACATTCTGACTCTTGTAATCATTAGCTCCTTGCTTTTTGCTGTAGATTTACCACCTATTATAGTTTAGTTTCTCCTGTTTATAAACTTATATAAATGCAAACATACTTTATATATTTTTTTCACTTTATATATACTTTAGTGATCTGCCTCTCTCAATATTGTACAAGTCAGTCTTGGGGTACCTGGAGCTTGTTCTTCATTGTGCTTAGCATTCAATGGACGACTATACTACAAATTGTGGTCCTACAGATAAACATTTCCGGTTTTTACTGTAACAAACTGTGCTGATAATATTTTTGTCTTGTGTCTCATGGTACAGTATCTAAAGTCTACCACTAGGTGTGTCATCAGTGGCTTATGGGAGTATGCACATCTTCAACTTTATTAGATAATGTCTATTTCTCAGCCTGCTTTCCCTATACTCCTACAGAAGCGGTTAAGACTCCATTCCCACAGTACCAAGACTTAGTGTGTCAGACATTTCTATTTTTGAAAATTCTATGGTATAATGGTTATCTCAGGGTATTAACTGGCACTTTGGATTACTAACAAGACTGTATATTTTGTTGGCCATTTAGATTTCTTGTTCTGTAGTCCTTATTGGTCATTCACACATTTTTCTTTTTCTCTCCAGAGATATAGTTCTTTATGTATATCTTTTTCCATTTTGTAGCTGGTCTTGTCATTATCTTTATGTATCTTTTAATGAACCAAGTTACTTGACTTCAGTGAACTTGAATATATGAACCTTTCCTTAACAGTCAGTACTATTCATATCTTATTTCAGAAGTTCTTTTCTACCCTGAGCTCATGGAGACACTCATATTATCTTCAAATGGCTTTTTAATTTTGCTTTTCATATCCAGGTTTTTAATAAATCTGGAATTGGTTTGTATATAGAAAGATAGTAATCTAGGGAAAATTTCTTTCCATATGGATATCCAGTTGTGCCCCCACTTTTATGAAGTAAACCCTTTCACCATGGATCTGCAATTGCTTACTCTGAGAATGTAGAAATCCATGTATTCTTTGGTCTGTTTCTCAAATTCAGTTCCACTGGCCTAGACATCTACACCAGTCCTAACACACAGTCTTACTCATTATTGCAGTTTGAAATCTGGAAGGGCAAATCCACCCATTTTTTTTGTTTTTTAGGAATATATTGTCTCTTTTTGGTTCTTTCCATTTCCCTGTAAGTTTTTAGAATCATCTTAAGTCCCACAAAAAATACTTGAGATTTTGATTGCAATTACATTGGCTGTTTGAACCAGTTACCAATTTACTCTATCAAGTCCTGTAAGCCACAGAGGTAGTTTATCTTTCCACTTAGGTCCTCTTTAATGTCTCTCTCATAGTTTTATAAACTTTAGAGGGCTTGCACAATTTTTGTTAGATTTTTTTCTCTAAGGGCTTAAGTTAATGTTTGTGGGGGTTTTTGCTTTATTTTTAGGTTTAATGTATTTTGATGCCACTGTAAATGGCATCTTTTTCTAAATTTTATTTGTATAGAAATACAATTGAATTTTATACCAGTTTTATATCCAACAACTTTGCTTAACTTTTATTCTAAACGTTTGTAGATACTTGTGGGTTTTTTATTTGTGTAATCTTATATGTGCAAAATGTTTGGTTTCTTCTCAATCCTATCGTTTACTTTTCTTGTTTTATGTGTTGTCTAGTATTTCTAATAAATTAGTGAAGAAGGCTGCCTGTAGGCATCCTTGTCCCCGATTTCAAAGGAAAAGCATTCAGTGCATCACCACCATATATTTACTATAGGTTTTTTGTAGATATTCTATTTTCAGATCAAAGAAGTTCTTCTGTTCCCTAGTTTGCTAACAGTTTTTTATCAAGAACAAATACTGGATTTTATCAAAGCATTTTCTGCACTTACTAAGAAATGTTCTTTAATCGGTTACTGTGGAATATATTTACAGAATTTCTAATGTTAAACCAACCTCCCCCTAGTATACCATCCTTTTTATGAATTGTTAGATCCATTTTGCTAAGATTTTTCTGGGATTTTTGCATCTATAATGAAATTTTCCTTGAATTTTCCTCTCTAATATTTCTTGTCAGATTTTGTTATCAAGGTTATCCTAGCCTTAATTAAAAGAGGAATATTCCCTGTTTTTATGTAAAATTGAACTTATAGTCATTATTTCTTAAATAGTTGGTAAAATTTGCCTGAGAAGCCACAGTTTTCTTTATGGAAAGATTTTTGCCTACTGATTGAAATTCTTTAAGGCTGGGGTCAGCTCACAACCTATTTTTGTACTGCTCTCAAGCTAAGAATGTTCTTTTTTTTTTTTTTTTTACAATTGTGAAAAGTTGTTTTAAAAAGAGAGAAAACAATATGTGTTAGCCTAAATATTTACTGTTTGGCCCAGCAAAAGTTTGTTGAGCCCTATTCTATAACCTTAATCAATCTGTCTGACTGGTAACAGTAAGCATGTTCAAATCTCCCATTATAATGATAATTTGTCTGTTTCTCGTAGTTTTGCCAAGTCTTGCATTTTTACTCTGAATCTATATCACTGGGTACATAAAATTTTTTATTATTACATTTTCCTGATGGATTATCAATATTCAGTGACTTTTTTACTTTGGTAATTATTGAACTATAATGTAACTATTGTTAATTTAAGTGTATCAACTGTCTTTTGGTAATAATTTGCATAATTTAAAATTTTCTTTACTTTCAATCTTTCTGTATCTTTAATCTTTACATAGTTCCTATAAACAGTTCTGACAGTCTCTTTTTTTAATTTTAAATTTAATGTCATAGGAACACTTAACATGATATTCCCTCTTAATAAATTTTAAATGTGCAATATGTTACTGTTGACTGTAGAAAATGCTGTACAACAGACCCTAGAGCTTATTCATCTGGCTTAACTGAGATTTTATGCCTGCTTATTAGTAACTCTCCACTTCCCCCTCCCCTAGCCCCTGGCTACCATTATTCATTCCACATTTTGATTCTATGAATTTAACTATTTTAGATATCTCATGTAAGTAGAATCATGTGGTATTTGTCTTTCTGTGACTGGCTTATTTCACTTAACATAATGTCCTCAAGTCTTTTGACTTTTAACTCGAATCAGTAGTCCACTAACATTTACTGTTGTAATTACTGTTAATATTTGGATTCATGGCAGCCATCTTATTTCATGCTTTTTGTTTTGTCACTCGAATTTCCTTTTTCTCTCTTTTATTGAAATGATTTTTATCATTCCATTTTTTCCTCTACTTGTTTGGAAATTACATAGTTTCTATTTTTACTATATACATTTAAAAATACATGAATATATGTATGGATATAGATATACACATACCCATACAAATAAAGGTCACTTAAATTTTAAGCAACTATTCTAAAATAATGAAGGTTTAAAAACTGGAAGGGAAGGGAGTTGAGTAGTTTTCTACTTTAAGAGATAAAGAACCTATCCTATAAACACATTAAATCATATGTGCAAGGTCGTAACTAATTAGAACCCATTTCTGAATTCCCCACTTACTATATAATAATGCCAAATACTTTTTTCAACATATATACCATTAACAAAAATGTATAAACTATAATCTTGCTAAAAATTTCCTCCTCTTCCTTGTTCAGTCTAGAGAGAATTTTTCAAATTCTTAAGGACTAGAGTTGTTTCTTTTTCAGCTAATACTATTTCCTCTCTTCTCTGAATGAGCTCAAGTTCCTCCTGCCACCAGCTTGGCTCAGAGCATTTTCAAGCCATGGTTACTTCTTTAAAACTTACCTTTAATTAAAGCAGAAACCCTCACAAGGCCTTCTCAGCAGCTACTCCCTTTCCTATATACTTCTAGGCATTTGGAGTAGAGGAAAAAATGGCAGCTGCACAACTGGTTAAATTTAAACACGCATCTCTTATCTCTTCTAGAATGGGCTAGCAGGAGGTTGTCCTCTCTTTAAATTACCATATTACTTTCAACTCACATAATGAGGATGTTTGAGATATACAACAGGTCTTAAAAAAAAAAAAAAGCCATAATGGCAGTTCCCAAAACTGCTCCACGGTACTCCAGGATGCACAAAACTCATAGAGGTGCTGCAGGATATTTCAAATGTTCAGGGAAAACACCAATCTTAATATCAGGTACTAGCAAACTACTAGTTTGATGTAGTTAATAATTGCAATATTATATCATGTTACATTCCTTTTGATGACATAGTATCTTTTTGAAGCCAGGTTTGGGGCAGTTTCTGTAATTTAAAAAAAAACAAACCCAATGCCACATGAAAATCAGTTTGAAACAGGAAAGAAGGTAGTTGTGTTGAATCTGTTTGCAAGGTTTGAGAAATCATGCAGTGCTCAAGAAGTGCACACATCTCACTAGCAGGTAACCACAGTTATTTTACAATGAAATAAAAATATTTTCTTTCATTGTTTATTTTTTCCAAATAGCAACTAGGTTGTGAGGCCACATATTAAGCAGTTAGAGCATAACTGCTTATTAAGATGCAGAGAATTTGGGAACACCTGCCATAATTGCAAGAATACTAAAAGAAACCTCAAGGGCTAATCTTTGATTCTACCAGTTAGCCAACTTATAAGCCTATGGCAGGTCATAGGTCAAGTCTGTTTTCCTCAATGGCAAAATAGGGACAATAACACCACTCTGAATATGTGACAGAATTGTGAGGATTACTGGAGGCTAAAAATGAAATTCCTGTAAACAGTAATGCACAATAGATAGTCTAAAGGGGAAAAAATATAAGTGTTCACTGAAAAATGAAATGATTAGGGCTCATAAATTATTTGAAAATCAGGATCTCACCTTTCTGAAATCTCCTCTAATAACTCCATAAGTTTAGCAGCCAAACCAAGGCGTCGAAATTCTGGGGCAACAGACAAAGCTGTGACATGCCCATGCCATTCTTCCCTAGCGACTGAGCCTTCTGCTTTACCCATAACTGCCAACAAAAGATTGCATTCATTAGTAAACACATGGGTTTACACATAAATATAGAATTACTGTTTGGTACATTTTTATTATAAAGGAAACTAATGACAAAGTTTTAATTTTTAAATCCTACTTAAAGTCATCTACCTAATGGTTATTAGTGCTTTTATTTGAAGTTCATTTGTAAATGTCATGCTAAATCTAGTTGTAAAAGCAGAATTAGAAAGTTTTTTAAAAGGAATGATATACTAAAAAAAACTGATTTCAAACACAACTAGAATATGTATTTTTAAAAAATATAAAGTGATTTGTTCAACGGTTTAAAAGGAGATAAAATTATAGGCATCATGATTATACTTTCAAATCTACATTAAATCAGTTGAAAGCTGTATTAAAATATGAACTACCTACCCAAAAAATTACTAGTGGTATTATACTTACTATAACCCATCAACTCTCCACCAGGAGCCTCTGCAACGATGAAATACTCTGGCCAGTGGGCAAGGTACTGTAAGTAAAAAGGAATCCCATACTAGAGTCTTGTTAAGGAATGTGAAAATGCTGTACAGTAACAAGTTCTTCATAAAAGGGATATTTTAAAAAGTCTCCTTTAAGAAGTATATTGTTAAAAAAAGATCTGTATATCCCAGCTCTATATATGTATAATTCCTATAATCATATCGTTATGTGAAATATTTAGGTGGCCTTAATTTCAGAATGGCCTGAACATACCACCTCAAATGTAAATGGAGAACGCACCATCTAATAGAAAGCAGAGAACCAGGACAGATCTGTAATCTGTCTCCCTACTGATCACACTGTACCTAATTCTCTGCATAGCACTTACCATCGCTTGATATTCTTATGTGTTTACTGTCTCCCCTTAGACTATGAGTAATGTGTGCTCTATCCCTGGTGCCTGGAACACAGTAGATGTTCAATGTTTATTTTTCTATAATTGCACTGGAAAATTAATGACTAGTTCCTACTTCAGCGTCAGCTATGAGACTGTGAAAATAACTTTACTTCCAGAGGCAACTTAAGAATTACCCAGTTTTCCTTTCCACTGATTCAAATTCTGCATTTCTAGTAATGTAAATAAAAGCTGACTTAAGAGTGAATGCCTGAATAGTCGGCTCACTACTTAAGTCTTCAACCCCCACGTCCTTACTGATACATACTCATTCCTACATTTCTTATTTTAAGCTTACTGATGCAATTCTATGAAGGGACATCATCAATCCATATATATATTTTTTTAAGTTCCTGGAAAACCTGTTCAGTAAATTCAAACTCTCCTATGAAGGACAAGCTTTATTTTGAATACTCTTCAGACATAACCCTTAATACAGCAGGCCAGCCAGTCTTCCTTCCATCCAGCCACTAACACACCATAATCTCTCCTCCAGCAGAGGAACCCCAGATGCCCACTCATCAACCACTAGGATCTGGCAGGTTACTTTCAAATATGGCTTCACCTGGATTGACACTTTTACTGTAAATTTTAAGGGTAACTGAAAGCACACCATTTAAGATGATTTGCATCCTAATATTTTCCCTTACTATATACAGGGAAAATTGTGTCATTCAAAATTCTTCAAAACCCTTTTACTTATTTTTTAAACATGGAAGGTTTTTAATAAGTCATAATTTTTTTATAAATACAAATGAAAACTTTGGAGATTTTTTGCATTTTCTACTTAACTTTGTTTCTGATATGTAGCCCTGTTGCCTGTACCTACAGTTAATTTTTACTGCTGTATAGTAGTAGTAGTGAAAACAATTTAAATATACTATCTCTGACAATGAACATCTGGGTTATTTCCAGTTTCTCAAAAACTTTTTCAAATCCTTCATGAATACAGAATAATTTAGCTATTTCCTTATTGTTATGTGTGAATGTTATTCCAAAATTTTAATATTAGAATTCTGCAATAAATATTTTTGTAATGACATAACTTAGGGGTTAACAAACATTTTCTGTAAAGGGCCAGATAGTAAATATTCTAGGCTATGTGGTCCCCATGGTCTCTATTGCAACTTACTCAAACTGTAAAAGCCATGGACAAAAGCCACAGACAACAGTAAATTACTCAGCATGGCTTCATTTATTTGTTAAATAAAACTTTAACAAAAACAGGTAATGGGCCAACTTAACTTGGCTCATGCACATTAGTTTGCCAAGCCCTGACATAATTGCCTCTATTGCTTATTTTCCAGTTCCAGGAAATGGAATTACTACTAAGTATTACATTGCCAGTGCCTTCCAGAAAGACTATAGCAGTTTATACTGTCACTCGCAATTTATGAGAATGATCCTGTCACCTCATCAGCACCGAGTTTTATCATTTTTTTAAATTCTTGATAATTTGACAGGTAAAACATATCTCATTTTGGTTTTAATTTGCATGTCTTTTGACTGGTGAGACTGAGCTCCTAATATATTCATTAGCTTCCCATCTGCCCTCTTTTATTAAATTATCAGTTAATATTACCCTTCTACCCTGCAGTAGACATGGATGACAACCCAGAAATCCAACTTGTGTTTTAAGCCACTGAGGTTGTGAGGTAGTGCAACATAACCCAGAGTATCCTAACTTCACACATCTTTACCCATTTTTTTTTTATTGGGGAGCATGATAGATGCTGCTAATTGTTACCCAAAATCTTCTCTTCCTTTTAGTAACAAGCCCCAATTTAAAGTTGGCACATTCCCAGACTCCGTTACAGCTAGATAAGTACAGCATGAGGCAGATGCAGGCCAATGAGATACAGAAGGGCTGCATGGTATTTCCCAAAGGTACCCTTGAAAGGTAAGGACACTCTCACCTTCCCTTCTGTTAATCCTCCTGCAGGAACATGGATGTGATGCCATTTGCTCTGGCAGCCATCTGAGACAGGAAGGCCAATGCCACCCTGAGAATGTAGAGTGGTTCAGGTGGAGAGCCTGATCACTGGTGACTTCATGGAACCACCACCTGCCCTGAACTACTCTTCATCTCCAGACTTCATTCACATCAGACAGAAATAACTCGTCTTGTTGAAGTCACTACTTCTGTTATGTATAGCAATATTACTGAGGGGCAAGCTGGGCAGGGGAGTTGTATTATTATAGAGTTATGAGGTCATTATATTAGCAGCTTGCCAGGCAAATTTAAGACAAATCTTGTTCCTAGTTTTGTTTTTTTAATTTCTTTCATTGTTGCTTATGATAGTTCCTGACCTACAAATTTTAAAGTTTTTCAGTACTTATTTTTTCCTTCTGTTCCTCCATTTTTCTTAATAGCCTTCATTAACTTTTTTTTTAAAAGGATACAGTTTCCGTAAGTGGATCCAAGTTACTGAAAGAAATGAGAAATGTCAATAGTAAGCACTATTTACAAAATCAGTTCAAATAAGCCCACTAAAATTAAAAATAATATGCACAAAGAAATGAAAACACGCTAAATCCACAACTTGAAAACCAACTTTTAGGTCGAGAAAGATGGTTTAAACTACCTAATGGCCATAATGAGCTGTCATAGCAACTATAAAGATATCTATACATTTTCGATTAACTGCTTTTTTTAAAAATTACTTTATAGTTAATATACATCCAAACCTTCCATTTTCTAAATGATAATAAATTGTTAATGGAAGTAGGGACCAACTAGGCATATAAATCACCAGACAGAAGATACAACCAGCCCACTGCAGCAACTGACAGGGCTTTTCCCAACCTGTCTCTGGGCCTTCTTTCCCTGACAATTCTTCCTTTCTCCTTTATTCCACCCTTCAGATGCGGGCTCTCCCCAACTTGGTTTTTGCTTCCCACTATAAAACATTCCCACCTCCTCCCTTCCCCAGTGTCCCCATTCCTATCCTTTCAATTTTGTATTCTCAGAGGAAGCCAGATCTGAATCTGGTGCTGTGCCTCACCAGCGTATTCAATCACAACACTCCGGAATCAGCATTTCTTGAAATACATCTCCACTTCCATCTACAAAGAGTCCTTCCCTCTCACTTTCCTATCCAATTAATGGAACCATTATCTTGCCAGGCTCAAAACAAGCGACCTTCAACCCTTCCTCTTGCACATACAAATTCTTCTTTGGGACCTTTACCAGTGCCCGACAGGCATAATGCATTTCTTTACCTCAGCAGTTCTCAAACATTTTGGTTTCAGAAACTTTACAGTGAAAATTACTGAAGACCCCAAAAAACTTCTATTTATGTGGATTATGTCTATTGATATTTAAAAATTTAAAACATTTATGTTGAAATAATTACATGTTAAGATGAATAACTTTAAAATTGAGACATAACTGAAAAAAAAATGGCGTAGATGAGAGGCTTGGTTCATCCCTCTCACAACCAAATCAAAGTTGTGACAGAAACAGAGCAAACATCAAAAAAAGTTGCCTAGGATCTAGATGAAGAAGTCTTACAACTAGGGAGACAAATAAGAAATCAACTGCCCTGCAATGGGAGGAGGTAGAGTGGGGTGAGGACGTGAAGCTGCCTGGTCCCAAGCAGCTGAGTGGGACAGAAGCTGTGGCAGCTGCTGCTGCAGATGCCGACTAAAGTGGCCATGTCCACGAGTGGCCTTTTGCTGTGAAAATCTGCTCATTCTGAGCACCAGTGCTGGGTGGGCTGCGTGGGGGGCACCAGGGACTTACAAGGGGACACTGAGTTGTCAGAGTGAGGGCCGGAGGTGAGGATCTCTCCCGGACAGAAGTGCTATCAGTATCCATTATTCCTCTGTTGAGACCTTACCCCTCCCAGGGTGCAGACTCAGTGCCACCATAGCTGAGATGTCATCCAACTGGATAACAAGATGTCGCTCCGCCCAAAGGATTCCCTGAAACTCTGCCTCCCCCAACTCCTGTGAGCCCCACCCACACCACATCCTGGTGTATCCTCAGGAGAGTCTGGTGCTCCTTGCTGAACAGCGCCAAGACTCACTAGTGGCAGCTGGCCTCGGTTTCTGGCGTGGCCACTTGAGGCAACTATAAGCACAGCATCTGTGGACTGCTTGCTGAATCTTAACAGGTGGCCCTAGAGGGGCACAGCCTGGGGCTAAACTTGGCCTGCAGCTAAACCCCTCAGGACAGTGCCACTGGATACCTACTAAACAAAGGCACATTAATAAGACCAGGAGTGTTAAGAGCTTTGCTTAGTACACAGAAACAAGACACAGAAAAGCAGCCAAAATGGGTGGACAAAGAAGCAGAAACCATATGAGAGAAGAGAACAGAGATCCGTGAATAATGGAGTCAAGCAATCTAACAGATGCAGAGTTCAAAACACTGGTTATAAAGATGCTCAATGAACTTCGGGGAAGTATAGATGAATTCAGTTATAGCTTTAAAGA